GCCGTGTTGTCTGAAGTTGGGGCACATCTCGGGGCAGGGAGCGGGCGGGAGGACTGTCTGGGAGCTGCCGTGTTGTCTGAAGTTGGGGCACATCTGATCCTCCCAGTGCCGTCCCTGGCAGATTGTCTGGCCGAGTGGCGGCAGTTTAGTGGTGACGTCATCGTGAGTATAACTTCTCCTTGGTAACCTCTTATAGTGGTCTGAATCGGTCTTGGCCTTTGGGCTCTTCTGCCCTCTTTTCAGAGATCTAGTTGAGTGCAGACGTCAGTTAAGTGTCCTAGGAAATGACAGGCTTTAGCAACCCATTCCGCTCCCGTGAAAGCCTGAACATTCAGAGTTTTCTCCTCAACTTCATTAGCTGCGGGTTCACCACCTCCCACTCTTCCTGCCATGCTATTTGGAACTTGTCAACTCATGTTCTTACCTTATGGAGTTAAAGACCTCAAGCTCTTCACTCAGAAATCCCCTCCAGAATATTCTGGCCTTTTCCTTGACCCAACATTTACTCTTAAGTTCCCTCAACCCCTCTGGGCCATTTTCACCCTGAAAGAACAGAGTGAGTCTTACAGGGCTCCTTTCCTGGTCTCTAGTGGCCCCTAGAGGATTTTCCCCTCGGTCAGTCTGTTTTGTCTGAGATTTTGAAATTAGATGTTGAAAGCCTTCATTTGAGGCTAGTGAGGCTGCAGAGGATGGCCTCTGCCCTCCGGACTGGCCCAAGTAACCACCTAAAGATGTCTCCCCTAAGCACACAAAGGAGAGTCTGGGATCTGGCCTCACCCTGCCTTCTGTTCCTCACGGGCCTTTTGTTTTTTTTTTTTTTAATTGTACTTCAGGTGAAGGTTTACACAACAAACAGTTTCTCATGAAACAGTAGTACCCATGTTGTTTTATGACATTGGTTAACAACCCCACGACATTCAACCCTCCCCCTTAATCTTTTTTTGGTGAAAGTATACATAGCCAAAGAAGACACCATTTCAAAAATTTCTACATGCACAGTTCAGTGACATCGACTACGCTCTTCCAGTTGTGCTGCTCACGGGCCTTTTTAAAAATTAATTTTTCTTAATTTATTGTTAAAAACCGTAAGAGGACAGACACTACCTCACCCGGGCAGTCAAAGTCCACATCAACAGTGAAAGTCATGTTGATAGCATGTGATTGAGCTTCGTACAATCTGACGAGAGGCCCTCTGTGGTCATCCTCCCCCAAACCCACAACCACAGTCTAATTGCAAGAAAAACAGCAGACGAATCCAGTTGAGGGGCATTCTACATTCCCAATCCCCTTCCTGTTTTTATTTTTCTCCACAGTACTTTCTGCCATCTACCATACTATCTTGTAATGTAAACCCCAAATGGGCAGGGATTTTAATCTGTTTTGTTCATTGCTGTATCACCAGCTTGAAAACAGTTCTTGAAATAAAGTAGATGCTCAATAAATCTTTGTTAAAGGCATGAATGACTGTAGCACTGCCTTGTTCTTTTTAATGGCTGAATAGCGTTCCGTTGTATGACTATAACAAACACACTTTGTTTAAGCAGACCACTATTAACAGGCATTGAGCTTATTTCCAATCTTTTGCTATTGTTAACAGCCCTGCATTAAACATCCTTGTATAGAATACTCATTTGCGTATGTGAGGGTATATCTTTACGATCTACTTCTAGAATTTAAATTGCTGAGCCTAAGTATAGGTTTTCAATTTTGATAGCTATGACAGATGGCTCTCCATCTTAGAGGTGGTGCTAATTTACACTTCTACAGCCAAATATGAGAGTACCTGTTTCCCCACGTCCTCACCTATATAATTCCCCAAAAACCAAACCCATTGCCGTCGAGTGGATTCCGACTCAGCGACCCTATAGGACACAGTAGAACTGCCCCATAGAGTTTCCAAGGAGAGATGGTGGATTCGAACTGCCAACCTTTTGGTTAGCAGCCGAACACTTAACCACTGCACCACCAGGGCTCCACACCTATATAATAGAATCCGTGAAAAATGCTCTCTCGGTGTAATTTTTTGAAAGAGGTTGAGTATGTTTTCCTATGTTTAAGAGCTATTTGTGTTTCCTTTTTCTGTGCACTGTCTGTTCATATCTTTTTTTCCTCCATTTTTCCATTGAGTTATCTGTCTTCTCATTTATTCATAAAAACTCTTTCCATATTAAATATATTACTCCTTTATCTGTGATATGAACAGCAAATATTTTCTCCTAATTTGTTATTTCACATAACACCGTAAACACCATTGTTTATGGTGTTCGTTGTGAGGCAGGATTTTTATTTGTGTGTGGTTGAATTGGTTAGTCTTTGCTTTTTTTGGCTTTAGGGGTATAGATCATAGTAAAAAAAGATACTTCATTTCTACAAACAACAATTTTCTCATCTTTTTCTTTTCTAGCAATTTTGTGATTTCATTTTCTTACATTGAAATATTTTATCCCACCGGAATTGTCTTGGAATAAAATGTGAGACACAGACTTACATTTTCTTTCCCAAGTGGAGAAAATCTTTTGTTCAGTGATTGATATACTCTGACTAATAAACTGAGCATAATCAGATATACTCCCCAGACCTCTCTGACTAATAAACTGAGCGTAATCAGATAGACTCACCAGACCTCCCCACTAGCTAGGAAAACGCAAGGAAGAGTCAGGAAATGACCTTGGACATCACAGAGGTCAGTCCCCAAAGTTCCCTGTGTTCCCGAGCTTCGTTCCTACTTGGTGCACCTGTGTCTCCCAGTGGAGGTGTTGAACCTGGAGACCCATGGTGGCTTCTGCAAGAGCTTTGTGTCTTTTAAGCTATGAATCGTAACATATATTTTCTAGGTATATTACTTTTCTATTGCTGCATAACAAATAACCCCAAAACACACAGGCTTAAAACAACACTCACTTATTAGCTTACATTTCTGCAGGTTACGTGTGTGGGCGGGCTCTCCTGGGTTCTCTGCTCAAGGTCTCACAAGGACAAAATCAAGGTGTAGGCTAGGCTGGGTTCTTAACTGCAGGCTCAGGGGAAGAACCCACTTTCCAGTTTATTCAGGTTGCCAGTCAATTTCAGTTCTTTGCAGTTGTAGGACGGATGTCCTCATTTCTGTGCTGACTGTCACAGGAGGCTGCTTTCAGCTTCTAGATGCTGCCTGCTTTCCTCGTTATGTGTGTCCCCTCCCTCCCCCACCTTCAAGCCAGCAACAGTGAGTAAAATCCTTCTCGTGCTTCCAGTTCATCTGACTTGCCCTTCTGCCACCATCCAGAGAAAACTCTCTGCTTTTAAAATGCTCATATGATTAGATTAGGTCCATTCAGAAAATCTCCCTTTTGCCATATAGTGTAACACTGGAAACACTGATGGCGTAGTGGTTAAGTGCTACGGCTGCTAACCAAAAGGTTGGCAGTTTGAGTCCACCAGCCGTTCCTTGGAAACCCTCTGGGGCAGTTCTACTCTGTCCTATAGGGTCGCTATGAGTCCGAATCGACTCGACAGCAACGGGTTTGGTTTTTCTGTAACACTTGGTGGAATGCTTCACTTTCTGTGACTGTGTTTTAATAAATAGAGGGCTGAATGTATTACTTTTGGCAACTGTACAATGCAACAGATGAATGTGATTGTTTTGATCAAGGCTTATGGTCACAGGATCTCTCAAGATCTTACTTCACTAGGTATAGAGACCAACCTTTATTAAACTAGATTTTTCATTAAAGCCCAGCTCACACCTTTGTTGTGAGGTAAAGAAGGGAACTGCCTTCTTTTTAAATTCTCCTCTCTAAGAGAAAGTCTTGCTTTACCTGGTTGTAGTAGGCAGAATTTTAAGATGGCCCCCATGACCTTTGCTCCTGGTACTGCTCTTAGGATTCAAAAAAAAGCCAAACCCGTTGCTGTCGAGTCGATTCCGACTCATAGCAACCCTATAGGACAGAGTAGAACTGCCCCATCGGGTTTCCAAGGAGTGGCTGGTAGATTTGAACTGCTAGCCTTTTGGTTAGCAGCTGTAGCACTTAACCACTACGCCAGCAGGGTTTCCAAGTGTTAGAGAGTGTGTGTAAAAATGTGAACCATCGTATCTTCCCTACAGAAGTTTGCAATGTTAGCAAGCAAAAAACTATAGACTCAGCATGAGCCGTAACAGTGGTCCAGCATCAGACTTATTCCAATGGTGAGGCGTCTTGAGTAACGCCTCTGCGAAAGCTTCCCAGGTCTTCATCATGATCTCAGATGGCTTTCTCTTCGACTTCTTTTAGCATCAAGAAGCTGAACGCATTGAAAAATTAAGATCATTCTGAACCTAATTATTTTTTAACTTGTAAACCTAATCTGATGCAATTTATTTCACTGTTGAGAGAACTTACCCTTCAAAACTCATACGAGGTAGGGCGAAGCGCTGTTTATTTCAGCGTGAAATGTCTGACGAACATTGCTACTCTAATGTTGCGCTTCCGTTTTTTATTTTCCTTAGGAAAACATGATCGTCCAGTCTTCGCTTCTCATTTGCCTTTTCCTGCTTATCTCTGGTTCCTGTGAGTTCTTTGCTGAAGCAAATTATTCTAGAAGCTATCCTTGCGATGAGAGAAAGCAGAATGGCTCCGTTCTCGCCGACTGTAACAGTCGTCGACTACAAGAAGTTCCCCAAACAGTGGGCAGATATGTAACAGAACTAGACCTGTCTGATAACTTCATCAAGCACATAACGAATGAATCATTTCAAGGGCTGCAAAATCTTACTAAAATAAATCTAAATCACAATGCAGTGAATAATGATGGCATGAATATTACAGACGGGGCATTCCTGCATCTAAAAAACCTACGGGTGTTACTGCTTGAAGACAACCAGTTACACCAGATACCTGCTGGTTTGCCAAAGTCTTTGAAAGAACTTAGTCTAATCCAAAACAATATCACTGTGGTAACTAAAAAGAACACTTCGGGACTAAAGAACTTGGAAAGTCTTTATTTAGGCTGGAACTGCTATTTTGGCCATGATTGTAAAAAAATTTTTGACATAGAAAATGGAACATTTGAGAGGCTTACACATTTGAAAGTGCTATCACTATCTTTCAATGATCTTTCCCATGTGCCACCAAAACTGCCTCGCTCCCTAACCGAACTTTATCTTAGCAACACCAACATCCAAAATATTGGTCAAGAAGACTTCAAGGAATTGAAAAATTTAACCATACTCGATTTAAGTGGTAACTGCCCGAGGTGTTTCAATGCACCATTTCCATGCAAACCTTGTTATGGAAACTCTTCAATTCAGATCCATCCCCTTGCGTTTCAAACCCTGACCCAACTTCGCTACCTAAACCTCTCTAGCACTTCCCTCCAGAAGATTCCTGCAACCTGGTTTTACAATATGAGTCAACTAAAGGTGCTGTATCTTGAATTTAACTACTTAGTGCATGAAATAGCCTCTGGGGCATTTTTAAGGTACCTTCCATCTTTAGAAATACTTGACTTATCTTTCAACTATGCAAGGACGGAATATCCACAATATATAAATATTTCCGAAAACTTCTCTAAGCTTATGTCTCTCCAGGTATTGCATTTAAGAGGTTACGTGTTCCAGGAACTTAGAAAAGAAGACTTCCTGCCTCTGCTAGGGCTCCCCAACTTAAAGGCTATCAACCTGGGCATTAACTTTATTAAGCAAATTGATTTTACCATCTTCCAGCATTTCCACAAACTGAGTATCATTTATCTGTCAGAAAACAGAATATCTCCCCTAGTAAATGACATCAGGCAAGATTATACAAACAGTTCATCTTCCCAAAGTCATATCCTTAAACCACGCTCAGCACATACTGAGTTTGACCCACATTCGAATTTTTATCATGACACCAGACCGTTAGTAAAGCCACAATGTAGCATTTACGGCAAAGCCTTAGATTTAAGCTTGAACAGTATTTTCTTCATTGGGCAAAAGCAATTTGAAGCTTTTGGTGACATCGCCTGTTTAAATCTGTCTGCAAACGGCAATGGCCAAGTGTTACATGGAACTGAGTTTTCGGCTGTGCCTCATGTCAAATACTTGGATTTGACAAACAACAGACTAGACTTTGATGATGACAAAGCTCTCACTGAACTGGTTGAATTAGAAGTTCTAGATCTTAGCTATAACGCGCACTATTTCAGAATAGCTGGGGTAACGCACCGTCTAGGATTCATCAAAAATTTAACACAGCTAAAAGTTTTAAACTTGAGCCACAACAGCATTTACACTTTAACAGAGTATAATCTGACAAGCATGTCCCTGGAAGAATTAGTCTTCAGTGGAAACCGCCTTGATCTTTTGTGGAATGACGAGGACGACAGGTACTGGCATTTTTTCACATTTCTCAGGAATCTGACACGGCTTGATCTATCCTTTAATAACCTTCGGCGCATCCCGAATGAAGCCTTCTCTAACTTGCCCCAGAGCCTCACAGAACTATACATAAACAATAATATGTTACATTTCTTTAACTGGACACTACTCCAGCAGTTTCCTCACCTCCGCTTGCTTGACTTAAGCAGGAACAAGCTGTCCACCTTAACTAACAGCCTGTCTACATTTACCTCTTCTCTTCAGACCCTGCTGCTGAGGCAAAACAGGATCTCCCACCTGCCCTCTGGCTTCTTTTCTGAAGCCAGAGGTCTGGTCCACCTCGATTTAAGTTCCAACCTGATAAAGATGATCAACAAATCCACGCTTCAAACGAAGACAGCCACCAACCTCGCTGTTTTAGAACTAGGAGGAAACCCTTTTGACTGCACATGTGACATTGGAGATTTTCGAAGATGGATGGATGAAAATCTGAATGTCTCAATTCCTAGACTGACAGATGTCATTTGTGCCAGTCCTGGAGATCAAAGAGGGAAGTGTATTGTGAGTCTAGAGCTAACAACTTGCGTTTCAGATGCCATCGCGGCAATATTCTTCTTCTTCACCTTCTTTGTTACCACCATGGTTATGTTGACGGCCGTGGCCCACCATCTGTTTTACTGGGATGTTTGGTTTATCTACCACGTGTGCTTAGCGAAGATAAAAGGGTACAGGTCTCTTTCCACATCTCAAACTTTCTATGATGCCTACATTTCTTATGACACCAAAGATGCCTCTGTCACCGACTGGGTGCTAAATGAGCTGCGCTACCACCTCGAGGAGAGTGAAGACAAAAATGTTCTCCTGTGTTTGGAGGAGAGGGATTGGGACCCGGGATTAGCCATCATCGATAACCTCATGCAGAGCATCAACCAAAGCAAAAAAACCATATTTGTTTTAACCAAAAAATATGCAAAGAACTGGAACTTTAAGACAGCTTTCTACTTGGCCCTGCAGAGGCTAATGGAGGAGAACATGGACGTGATCATTTTCATTCTGCTGGAGCCAGTGCTACAGCATTCTCAGTATCTGAGGCTGCGGCAGCGGATCTGCAAGAGCTCCATCCTCCAGTGGCCTGACAACCCCAAGGCAGAAGGCCTGTTCTGGCAAAGTCTGAAAAACGTGGTCTTGACTGAAAATGATTCACGGTATAACAATTTGTACGTTGATTCCATTAAGTAATACTAACTGATGTGAAGTCATTGTTCAACGACGTAATAAAAATGCAAAGCAACTACTCTTCTGTCTCATGATCTATTGCTGTATAACAAATTGCACCCGAAACTCGGTGGTTGAAAACATGTACCTATCAGCTCATACTCCTGTGATTGTTGTCAGGATTCAATTCCTCTTGGCCAAAGGCTGCTCTCAGCTCCTTGCCATGTGGGCCTCTCCCACATGCCAGTTTGTTTCATAAAAGCCAGCAAAAGAAAGCGTCTGCTGCCAGGATGGAAATCACAAGCTTTTATAATACACATCTGAATCTTCCAGAACACTAAGATGCAATGTGCCTAGTGCCATGAGATATGCTTGTGGGATAATATTTTGGAAAATGATCCAGTAACTATGTTTACTCTATAAATGAGGTCTATAAGAACCTTTCCAGAGGTTTCCGTGGTTTGTTTGCTGATGGTAATATCTTAAAATCAAATGAATACATTTCTAACAATGTCTGTTGAGGCAAAACACCAGGTCTGATGGGGGGATATAGTTTGGGCAAAGACCTGTTGAATGGCTCATAAACAGCAACAGGTCTGCTTCTTCTGGTCTTCCTACTCCTCTGACTTATCAAGACAGCTTTGCAAACCTTCCCAGACGCCAATGGCCAGAAGCTACATGTCGGCACTCATCTGAACACACGATTATAATTTTCTGTCAACACAGGAACCATTAGGAAGTGAAGGCTCATTTAAGATTTGCACGAACCAAGTCCCAAGACTTTGGGCTTTGAGGTAAGCTCCTAGATGAGTGTAGTTCCTTCTTCTCGCTACCCTCCACTTTTGTATATTTAAGGGGGATGCCTTTCTGCCCACAGCATCATTAGTGAGAAACAGCCTGGGAAGTGGCCAGCTCAGATTCACCACCAGGGGGCCTGCAACGCTGTTCCACGAGTCTCTCTCTGCCAATAGGTGGCAGCAGCGGTCTGTCTAGAGTCCTCAGGCTTCCCTTTTAAACTCCCATTTTACGCAAGGAATCTTCATTGTCTACGCTGAACCTGGCATCTCACCAGACCTTGGACTCAAATTCCCCTCCTACCCAATACGCCAACAGCCGCTGGGCAAATGTGTTGAAACTGAGAAGGCTGGTAGAGGCTGGAACTCAGGGACTGGGCTCTCCAGCAATTTCTAGGTTTAATTAATTCACACGTTAACGGGAACTTCAAGTAGAAGTTTTTTTTTAATTGGCTCCTGATGATGTCACGCTAGGCGGGGAGAACTGGTTTTCTAGGTGTGGGGATTCTTTAGGCCTGAAACACCCTCCAGGAAAGGCCCTGAGGCCTCGCGCTTTCAGCAGAGCCTGGGCCTCCAGTTGTAACTTGATAGAATGCTTTTACCAAACAGACTCTTACTATTGCAGAAAACCCCAGAAATCAAGCAGTGGATGTACTGGCTGCACATTGGAATCACATGGGAGCTTCAGCACATACTGAGGTTCTGATTAACCCACAGGTTCTGATGAACGGGTCCAGGTGCAACCCGGGCAGCTGGAGTTGTTAAAAGTTCCAGATGATTCCAAATGTGCAGCCAAGGCCGAGAGCCACGGTTAGGAAGATGGGCAGCTTCTGCTCCTACGTTAATTAAATCCTCCCACCCACTAACAAGTTTAGATTCCTTACACCTTGAGTACGTCTTGAGTACATTGAAATGAAAAACCAAACTTAAATAAGAAAAATTGGCATGGGGTCAGAGTATTAGGAACCTGATTAAAACTGAGCAGAAAGCAAAGCCAGTTTTGTCTCTGTATCCCCAAAGGTCAATTATACCAGCCTGCTATTTACTTTATACACTCCTGAATGAAGCGCTTGTATTTGCTGACCTTCAAACACTTCCAGGTTGTCTAAATGTAAGCCATGTGATATTTCCACTTTTTGAGTGACCTGGCAATTGTCTGCATCAGATCAATTCTCCCCCGTAAACTCTGCGGTTGACAGGGGAGAATTCGCTGGTTTCACATATTGAACGTGCCGTTAAGGCCTGTGACCCTCTTGGGGGGTTAGACTAAGCATACCTCTCAAGGGGAGGCAAAGTTGGAGGAGGGGAGAATGGTTGTGAAGGAGCCCTGGTGACACAATGGTTAAGCCCTCGGCTGCTAACCGAAAGGTCAATGGTTCGAACTCACCAGTGGCTCCAAGGGAGAAAGACATGGTGATCTGCTCCCACAAAGATTACGGCCTAGGAAACTCTATGGGACAGTTCTACTCTGTCACATAGGGTCACTATGAGTCAGAATTAACTCAACGGCACCCAACAACAGAATGGTTGTGAAGGTATGAATGGAAAGACCAAAGCTTTGGAGTGAGACGCGTTAACCGCACCACCAGGGGCCTCTACAGAAGATAGTGCCTATGGCAGTTAGTGTTAAATTGCTGAATGATCTCTCATAGCTGGCAATGGAAACAGCAATGACCAATAGAAACTGCTCCTTAGCACCCAGAGCCCCCGCCCTCCCTGCCATACCTCAGTTGTTTCAGCCCGCCTTCACCAGTTGGGTGGCCTCAGGCAGGTACACCACTGCCTCTGAGCTTTATAGCTCATCTCTACTATGAGGTAATAATAACCATCTTAGGTCATTTCTTAAGTCAGTAGGATAAACCTGTGGTGTCCTGGTAACTAACAAATAATGGGGGAGGGGAGGGCAGGGGCTGTGATTCCTAGTGTTTGCCGATTTCCATGGTGTAAATACTCCCACCATGGCAGATTTCGAGATACCAATGTGACGTGACTGAATGAGGAGTTGAGAAGAGATGTGCACCATCTGAAATATACCATCTTAAAGTACCCGCCTAGAAGGTAGCAGACTCTCACAAAAGATTATATCCCCTTCCCTTTCCCCTAATAGGAACATTTCTGTTGACATAGGGTATTACCATTGTTAAAGCATTTTCACAGCCACTATCTTCCTAAAGGGAACCCTGATGTTGTAATGCTTAAGCGCTTGCTTGCTAACCAAAAGGCTGGCAGTTCAAATCTACCCTCAGCTCCATGGGAGAAAAGACCTGGTGATCTGCTCCTGTAAAGATTACAGCCTAGGAAACCTTATGGAAGAGTTCTAGTCTTTCACGTGGGGTTGCTATGAGTTGGAATCGACTGGATGGCACACAACAACAACAACATCTTATTAAACTCTCAGATCAAAGTCAAACAGGGCAGGGTGGGTATTATTTCTACATTTTACAGATGAGAAGCCTCAGACTCAGAGGGGTTAAAGTAAATTGCCCGAGGCCACATAACTAGCAATTGACAAAATGGGTATGGTAGGCAAAATCACAGCCCTCCAAAGATTTCTGTGTCCTAATCCCCACAACCTGTGAATATGTTATGTTATATGGTGTCATGGTTTGAATTATGTCTCCCCAGAAATGTGTGTATCAGTTTGGCTGGGCCATGATTCCTGGTACTGTGTGATTTTCCTGTATGTTGTAAATCCTGCCTCTATGATGTTAATGAGGGAGGATGGGTGGCAGTTGTGTTAGTGAGGCAGGACTGGATCTACAAGACTGGATTGTGTCCTGAGGCAATCTCTTGAGATATAAAAGACAGAAGTGAGCAGAGAGACAGGGGGACCGCATACTATCAAGAAAGCAGTGCTGGGAGCAGAGCGCGTCCTTTGGACCAGGGTCCCTGCGCAGAGACGCTCCTAGTCCAGGGGAGCACTGAAGAGAAGAAGGCCGACAGAGAGAAAAAGCCTTCCCCTGGAGCTGATGCCCTGAATTTGGACTTTCAGCCTACTGGACTTTGAGAGAATAAACTTCTCTTTGTCAAAGCCATCCACTTGTGGTATTTCTGTTATAGCAGCACTAGATGACTAAGACATATGGCAAACGGGAATTTAGGTTGCAGGTGGAATTAAGGTTGCTAATCAGCTGACCTTAAAATTGAAAGATTACCTGGGATCATCCCCGTGTGCTGAATGTAATCACAGGGTTCTTTAAAAGTGGAAGAGGGAGGCAGAAGAGGAGAGTTAAAGGGAGATGTGGCTACGGAAGGATGGTCCGAGAGATTCAACATTATTGGCCTTAAGAGGGAGGAAGGGGCCACGAGTCATGGAATGTGGGTGGTCTCTAAAAGCTGGAAAAGTCAAGAAAATGGATTCTCCCTGGAGCCTCCAGGAAAGAATGCAGCCCTGTCAACACCTTGATTTTAGCCCACTGAAACCCATTCTGGACTTCTGATCTCCAGAACTGTAAGATAATACCGAGCGCTGTTACAGCAGCCAAAGGAAAGGAAGACACTGGCATGGAAATCCTGTCTCCTCATCCCTCAGCCTCAGCTCAAATCCCACCTCCTGGGAGAACCTTCTTTTTCTTGCCCTTTCTAGGTCTTTGCTTTCTCTTCTGAGTTTCGATAATACCTGACTTTTAGCACTTGCCATACATTTGTGATTCTTTGCGTACATCAGTCTTTGCCCTCATCCCTAGAGGCAAGAACAATATTCTCTTCACTTTCCATCACTTTCGACCAGCACAGTTCCTTCCCCAAGACCAGCACATAATAATTAGGTTCAGAATGTGTGAATGTGTGAGTGAATGAATGGGTGGATGCTTGAGTCTGATGTTAGCAATAGTGCCGCACCTCATCACCACCAGCAATCATGGCGTCTGAGCTGGCAATGTGGCAGGGCAATTAAAAGCATTCTTGGTAGAGTCATGAGCTACCCACCCCCTTCCCGCAGTACAGTTTGGGACCTGCAGGAACAACCAAGACCGTCTGTCTCCCCTTTGGCCCACAGAAGCCGCCTTTCCCAAGGAGAGTCAAAGGGTTAGAGGTAGCATGCATGTGCAGAGGAAGGAAGATTCTGCCTCAAGACTGAAGAGAAACAGGCATGATGTATGGGGTCACGGAGCCCCGGACTCCGATGCCGGCATCTCTGTCTCAGCAAAGCCCATGATTAGATTTGGGCCCTTAGGCCAGTCGCTTACTTACTCTGTCCTCGTTTATCAAGTGTGAGAAATGCCAGCTCTGTGCTCTGCTTCTTTCAGAGGCTTATAAGAAAGGGATGAAAGGAGAGGTCTGGACA